AATACCAATCTCAGTCATCAGGATATCTAGCAGGCCAGCAAACCAGCGACAGCAAACAGCAAATGCAGCAGCAGGACAACTGTAACTTTCTTCCTCCTCCTCCTGTTGCCTAGGAGTATTTCTCTCTCTTTCTTTCTCTGGGCTCTAGTATTTATTCCTCTTAGAGTCCTCAAAATTCCACTAACTGCAGCTAGCAAAGACCATTCCCCTCTCTGAGCTGCATGAGGCAATTATCATTTGTGGATAAACTAAGGCAGCCCCATGTCCCACACTTGGGGTTAAAACAAAAACATTTTTACATAACTGAGTTAAAAACAACAACAACTTCCACTACATCTGCATCCCTGAGTGCTGGGATTAAAGGTGTGTGCCACCACACTTGGCTAGAGATTTAATGCACACTGCCACAGGCAGCATGGCTCTAGACATGGCCACAGGTGAACATCTTTCTCTGTCCCCCAAAACTCAATGTTATAAAAGAACTACTGGAGCTTTAGGATCTTTTGCCCTCAGGGACACTAGGAATGATCTTGGGTAGGAGGGAGGATTCATTGTGTATCCGTGAATTATAGATGATTTCAAAAAAGAAATTAAATTATGGCCTCTGTAAAAAGAGAGAGGCAATTTAACCCAGGTAATAGGGCTGCTCATCAGCTGCTGTGTCCCTACATCAAAGGCAAACCTGCTCCAGTAGAAAGAACAGGAAAGGTCTGGAAACATTGGCCACTGACCCAAAAAGCACTTATTTCATTTAAGATGTCTCTGTTTATAAGTTCCCACTATACACAGCACCTTTAATAGCTTAAAACAGAACTGGGGAAATGTAGTAAGAATTCTGGATTTTTGGTTTCTTTAAAAAGCACAGAAATACTACAAGAATGTGCTTTCCGTTTAATCCCAGGTGTAGGGATGGCAGTCTGCAGCCGCTGTGATTGCCTCGTGCTCCAGCAGAGGCCTGGTTTTACAAGCTTCAGATCGTTTCTGCGCTTAGGTGACATTTGGAATTCTAGGAACTTTTCAGAGAGTATATGTAGTTTGAATAGATTTGGCCCCCATAGATTTAGGAGTTTGAGTTTGTGGCTATAGGGAGCGGCACTAGTGGGTGTGGCTTTGTTGGAGGAAATGCATTACTGCAGTGGCAGGCTTTGAGGTCTCCTGTGTGCTCCACCCAATGTGGCCTGAGCCTCCTCCTGGGTGCCTTCAGAAGACAGGTCTCCTCACTGCCTTCAGCTCAAGATGTAGCACTCTCATCTCCTTCTTCAGCACCGTGCCTGCCTGCACGCCGCCAGGTTTCCTGCCATGATCATAATGGACCGAACCTCTGAAACGGTAAGACAGTTCCAATTAAATCTTTTCTTTATAAGAGTTGCCTTGGTCATGGTGTCTCTTCACAGCAATTAGACCCTAAGACAGTATATAAATGCAAGGTTCCCGAGAGGAGAGGTTGGTGGTTCAGGGATTGGGGGGTGGGTTGTGGTGTGTTAGTCCTCATGCTCAAAGAAGAAACAAATAGAAAGAAATTATAAATTAAATTCAAGAATCTCTCCTTTATCCTTCTTCTAGTGATAAGGGGTGAAACAGGGGAGGAGGGATAAAAGGGTAGGAAAAGGAAGAACCCACAAAGTAAAAAAGGCCAGCTACAGCCATCCTTTTTTATATATAACTTATTTAACTTTATTTTATGTGCATTAGTATGAAAGTGTCAGATCCCTTGGAATGAGCATTACAGACAGTTGTGAGCCACCATGTGGGTGCTGGGAATTGAACCCAGGTCCATTTGGAAGAGGAGACAGTGCTCTTAACCACTGAGCCATCTCTCTAGCCCTACAGCCATCCCTTGAAGGCTTTGAAAAACATGTGTTTGGGAAGGAGTGGTGCACACTTTTTTAATCCCAGCACTTGGGAGGCAGAAGCAGTGGATCTCTGAGTTGGAGCCCAGCCTGTTCTACAGAGCGAGTTCCAGGATAGCCAGGGCTACACACAGAAACCCTGTCTCAAACACACAAACAAAAACAGAACAAAAACAAAACAAAACAAAACATGTGAACCATAGTAGAAGACAATACTAACCTGAAAAAGGGAACATAAACATTAAGAGAATGCCTTCCAACAAAACAAAAATCAGGCCATGGACTTTCAAGCTTTAAGGAAGAAAAGTAAATGAGACCTAGACTGCAATTGTATTGGACATGAATTGTGTCCAGTATAAATTCTGGCTTTGTTAGATTTGGTGTTTTTTTCTTTTTTCTCAGTTTTGTTTTTAATCTTTTTATATGTCCTTGATTGGCCTTGAATTGCCTCTGCTTCCCCAATACTCAGTCCTGTTTTCTCTGTGAAACCAACTTTTTTAAAAATTGAAAATATTTTATGCAATATATTCTAATCATGGTTTCCCCTCCCCCAAATCCTCCACGATTCATTCTACCCACCCAAATTCCCACCCTTTATTTCCTCTCATTAGAAGACAGGCATCTAAAAACAAATAAAAACAAGCCAGAATAGGACAAAATCCAAACAGAAAATAAAGAGCCAAAGAAAAAGTACAAGAAACACAGATACAGAAATGCACATACTCCCACACCCAGAAAACAAAAACCACAAAATTAGAAATCATAAAATATATAAAATTAACTAGGCAAAGCAGTGCAGGCCTATAATCCCAGCAGTTGGGAAGGCAGAGGCAAGAGGAACTGTGAGTTCGAGACCAGCCTGGTCTATAAAGTGAACTAAGGACAGGGCTACCCACGTCTGAAAAAGAACAAACAAATAAAAAAGGCAAACTTCCCCACCCCACAAGCTGAGACACTTGTGTGATTGGCAAGTGACAATGATTCACCTCAAATCTGTTAGCCTTCAGCCTGTATACTCCAAAGTCTAGGAAGAGAAGCTGAGTCAGGTATTTGAACATGTCCTTACCATCAGGACCACTTTCCAGGCCCTGCAGGTAAGGAGTTCTTAGTTCTCTCTGGACGTAGAGACAGGATCATCGATATTCAAGGTCATTTTGACCTCATAGCAAGTTCCAAGCCAGCCTAAGCCCAGGAAAAAGCACTGCAGACCGGAAGACTGTGTCCTCATCCAGGGGAGGGGCTGAGCTCCAGCACTGTCTTAGTGTAGTGCAGCTAAGTATACTATAAACAGAAGCTTATTTTAAGAGGACACTTGGAGACTGGGGCCATGGTTCAGTGCTAGAGTATTTGCGGAACATTCAGGAGGCCCCTGGGTTCAGCTCTGCTACAGAGGGGAAAAGTAGATGAACAGCTGGGATGTAGCTCAGGCTCAGAATAGGGTGAAAACATTCATCTACTTTATTTAAGGTCCTCGATTTGATCATCAGCAAAACACATGCATACACACACACACACACACACAGATGGGCACATGAATACACACATGTGCACACACATGTGATCTTACCAGAAACTGGATGCAATGAGACTAAGATAGAATTTTTCTTCTTTTTTTTTTTTTTTTTCTCCTAAGACAGTAGCCCTGGCTGTCTTGGAACTCACTCTATAGAGCACACTGGCCTCAAATTCAGAGATCTGCCTGCCTCTGCCTCCTGGTAGAAAGGGAATTTCTGAAACCTTTTGTTCCCTTCTTTACTCCTTAGGAGACTGGAAATGAATCCTCAGGACATGATGGGAACAATTCTTTGGCTTGGTCCTAACAATTACAAGTAATACTTTTTTTTTCCCAAAGGAAGAGTCTCACTGAAGCCCTGACTAGCCTGGAATTCCCTACATAGACCAGGCTGGCCCAGAATTCACAGAGCACCTGCCTCCAACTCTTGCATGCTAGGATTAAAGGGATGTGCCACCACCCCTAGCAGAATTCTTTTCATCCACTAGTTACTACCCCCTGGAAATTCGCACTAAAATTTTATGTAAATCTTGTCCTTACTATCCTTGCCCTTCTTTCCCAAGACATTTGTTCTGTTAGTTAATTCCCTTTGGTAATTGGTATGGTAGGAGTTGTTTCCTGTGTTTATTTCATTATACAGGAAAAAGAGAAAATTCCAGATGGGTCTGAGATTAGAAAGATGATGCCTGGACAATGTGTGTGTGTTGGGGGTGATAGATAGCTCAGCAGTTAGGTGTGCTCATTGTTCTTTCTTGACTCAAGCTCAGTTCCCAGCACCCACATCAGGCAGCTCACAACTGCCTGTAACTCCATCCCCAAGGGATCCAACCCCCTGTTCTGACCACTGTGGGTACCTGCGCGAATGTGGCACACACCTACACAGTTTGTTTGTTTTACGTAGTGGGAGGCTAGAGAGATCTAGCTCGGCAGTTGAAGGTGCTTGCTCCCCTTCCAGTGGACCTGGGCTGTATTCCCAGCAGCTACATAACTCATTTCAAAAGATCTACTACCCTCTCCTGGCCTCTGTGGGTACTGCATGCATGTGGTGCACATTTATACTCAGACACACACACACACCCCCCACGTACACATAAAATAGAGAAATGATGCCCATCTCCCTGGCATTCACATGCAGCAAGTCTGTTATTCCTTGCTTCCTTCTTCCCATTGTTGCCTCCAAGTTTAGGCCACAGTGAGGAGCAGTGTCTGGAGCTAGAGCAGCTGAGGAGAGCTGGGATGGCTGCCACAGCCTGTGATACACGAGAGGCCTGCAAACGGCAACTCCTGAGGAGAGCTGTCATCTCTGTGAAGGTACCGAAGAAACTGGGGTCAGGGAGGGGACAGGAGGAAAGGAAATAAGGCAAAGATGAGCTCAGGGCCCCCAGAGAATGGAGCCTTTGTGTGGGGTACAGATGAGGGACAAGGGGGTGATTGTGTGGGAGGGCCGGAAGTGCCATGCAGACTGGCACTGCCATAGCCGGCACTGGATTCACGCTTCTGCTCTGAGAACTCCCTATATATCAAGTGTCCAGGAAAAGTAGGGTGTACCTGATGGTTACAAAGAAAGGGCAGAAAAGAGAATGTGCGGCCAGGAAAAATAATGTATCATCCCAAATCCAGAGAACAGGAGGCAGAGAAAAAAAAGACAGAAGCAGCTTTTACTATATTTACAACCAACAAAACTTTGCAAAGAATAATCCTTATTGCACAGGTCAAGGCCATGGACAGGAGAGCATTCTCCACGGTGGACTGGACAAGAAGGACCAGGACTAGAAGAGGCACCAATTCTTCCTAAGGGAAGCTTGAGACTCCTCTGGGTCCCAGTTCATGGCTCTCAAGGAGCTACAAAGCTAACTCCCTTCTCTTATGCTCCTTGAGACCCTCGTAAGTATAAGAGCTGTGGCCTCAGAATAAATAACGAAATAGAATACAACACTAGGATGGCCTTGGGCTCCTTCAGCAACGTAGGGAGTGAAAGTCCTCCCTTCCATTCAGGGCAAAGGCTCAGGAGCTCTAAATCTTTCCAGTTGTTTTTTAAAACAAAAACTTGTGAGTCTACCAGGGCTCTGCAGGTCTGAGGATACCCTGAAAAAGAGCTCCTGGAATCAGATGGAGAAAGAATGGAGTTGTGCCAACTTCCGCAGCTCTCCTCCGCCTCAGCATGAACAAACAGGGCAGGTCAGATTCAGGGGAGTTGTGGCTTTGGGTAACAGTGAGTCCCTCTTCCTGCTAGTCCCACCTGAAGCCTATGGCTGAACAGCCTGTTCCCAATTCCTCTATGAAGGGAAGAAGGAGTCAGGCTAGGTCTAGAATCCACTCTTCCTCATCTCTCCACTCAAGGCTGGAGAGCAGAGCTCAAGGGTCCCTAGCATTCCAGTGGTGCTCCAAAACATTTTCGGCAGTCAATGGCCTTGGGAGTAGGCATCTGTGCCCGACGCTGCCTCAGTTCCTCCTTGCCCATGCTGCTGGCCAGCTTGTTAAAGGCAGACTTGTACTTCTTGTCGAAGGCCACTAGGGTAAAGGTTGGAAATTGATGCATTAGGATCTCCTTTCATCCCTGTGCCATACCCTTTATCCCCTCAGAGCCTGATTGCACCCTTACCTATGTCCACGTGGTCCTTGCCCAGAGCAGCCATTGTCAGGAACAAGATCTCACGGTAGATTCCCCTGCAGTAGACAGAGTGGGTATTAAAGAAAAGAGGTGCAAAGACATGTCATGGGCCACCCAGGTGAGAGCGTCATACCTCTGCAGGTGCAGGCCGGTGGGAGGGGCACCGAGAGTTTCCAGCAGGAGCCCAACAGCTTTATGAACCTCATTGAGTCCGACGTGGCGCAGCACTGACTCCAGTAATGCCAAGCTAAGACATGAGGGTGCTGGGCCCGGCCATACCACCCGCTGTGGGATCTGGCCTGGGTGAAAGGAAGGAAGGCTCACCAGGATCGCCAGACCCTCTAGGCAAGGGGCCCAACCCTTTTACTTCCAGATCAGGTACCAACTCACTGTGGACCCTCCAGAGCACATAGAGAGGCGGGCAGCTGCTGGGGTCGGGGGTCAGGACATCCCACAGCAGGCGAACACGCACAGAGGCTGGGTCAGGGGTTAGCCAAAGGGATGGTCCCTGGGAGAGCTGAGACAGGAGACAAATTCAGAGCAAGAGGCAGAGGACAAGAAACAGACATTACAGGAGATAATGAAGGAAAGAAGGGAAAGAACTTATTTTTGCTGTCATTGTTATCTGAGTCAGGGACTCACTATGTAGATGAGGCAGGCCTGGAACTCATAGAGATCTGCCTCCATGCCTCCTCCTGACTGTTGGGATTAAAGACTAGAGCCGCCATGCCCCAAGGGAAAGAAATCCTCATCTCCCAGTTCTTATGAACAAAGACTTTTTTTTCACCTTGTTACACACCCAGCACCTACAACCTAAAATGTATGCAACAAATGTTGGTGGAGTAAACAGAAAAATACGAGCCATTTTTAGGTACTAGTCACTCCATCTAATACCCATCCTGGTAGGCCACTGCTTATGCCATTTGACAGATGATGAAATGGAGTACAGGCTGGTAAAATGGCCAGGCTCAAGAGACTCCACAGCTTGCATTGTTCTACACCTTCAAGGCCGAGAGACAAGAAGCTGAGAGGTGAGGACAGAAGCCCTCGGGAGGCAAGAACTACATAAGCGCCCTCACCTGGCTGGGTGGGGGCCCATCACCTGAGGCCAACAGCAGGCCTGGTAGAATACTGGGCAGGCGTAGCCGTTGGAAGTACCACAGGAGGTTCCAGAAGATGATGGGGTGGGCAGCGGGCAGTTCAGGTAATGCCAACACCTCGCTGCCCTCATTCTCTACCAAAGACTCTAGCTCCTTACGCAGCACCAGAGGGCTCAGGTACGCCCATGCCCCATTCTCAACTCGCCGGGAAGCACTCTGCAGACAAGAGGTAGGACAGCAGTGACAACACATACTAAAGGCCCGCAACCAGAGGCTTGCCTCTCAGCGAGTCAGCCAGTCCAAGCGCCTCTTGCATGCCCCTTGTCCTCAGTGCCCATCAACCTGGCACCCCTTGACTTCCCCTCAACAGATAATACATTCCCCACTTCACGCTCTTCTTGCCCAGCCTTACCCCCATATGCCCATTGCAGAGCTGGGGTTCATCCAGGGCAAGGCAGAGCCTCCGGTCACTGAGCACAGGGCCCGGACCCCCAGGGACAGGAGCATCTTTGCTGCCACTCTCACCAGCAAGGGCGGACTGTGGACTAGGGACACTGCAGGGGACAGCATGGGTGTCAGCTCTTGACCACCACCTGCCTGTCCCTCCCACACCACTTGCCCTGCTTCGGGCACCTTGGTCGAGAATCAAGAGTCTGGACACTGAGCAGGGGCACAAAGGGACATGCGCAGAAGGGGCAAGTCGTATTGAGATTCGAGTCGTCGGGCGCCCAGCCAGCCATGATCTCCTCATCGTACACCAGGGAATCACAGGCTCGGCACAAGGAGCAGCTGGACATCAGAATCTGTGGGCGAGGGGACCCCAGGAAATTAGCCTCATTTGGTCCAGTGCCCTTCCTTGACCCTTCCGTCTGCAAACCCCGGCCAGGCCTCCTCCCACCTCCTCCCCTTCCCCTGCCTTTGCAGGGAGATCTGAGCTGTGTGTGCTCCAGCACAAGTCTGTAGATGGGAGGATGCTCACTTCCAGGGAGGGGGGCTGGAGAGTCCCAGGGGTGTCACTGAGGCGCTCTGAGGAGCGGCGAAGACTCAGGCTGCTGACAGAAGACTCCGAGAGATCCCACTCGCTGCCCAGAGAAGCGGAGCTCTGCCGTTTCCAGAGAAAGCACAGTCAGCTCGTCCTTCGTTCTCCCACTTTGAGTGCCACATCCACGGTCGCTCGGAGTCACCGTTAGGGGCTTTCTCTCAGTCGGCAGCCCTCCCCTCCTGATAGCACGCTACCTCCTCTCCCTGGCTACCTCAGAAGCAGTGGATCCGGGACGTTCTCGGGGCCACAGAAGGCTATCCATGGGACTTCGGCGGGCCGCAGGAGGCAGGTCCGGGGGTTGCTCAGGTGGGGGGATGCGGGAAGCAGAGGAGCGGCGGGAAGGAGTGAGCAGCTGTTGGAGGCGGGCACCCAGCCCTTTTCTGGGGGTGCCCGCCTCCTCCTGAAATCCGCTAGTTTTGGAACCCCGGCCACTTATCCCTTCTAGGGCCTCAGTGGACTGGGCACTCAGGGCTGAGCCTGAGCCCCCTGGGCTGCCTCCAGGTGCCAGTTCTTCCCCTGTCAGACTCAGGTCTGAGAGACTTCCATCCTGCCAAGGCACAGGTGATCCATGGGGTTCGAGGACCCCCAAGGCCTCTATCACTGAAGACAAAAGGAGAATTGAGATGGAGCTTCTCCCAGCTGCTCTTTTCCTGAGAAAACATAACTCTTGCAGCAAAAACTCTAGCATCTGTGGCTGAAAAGATGGTTCAGCAGTTAAGAGTACTGTCCGCTCTTTCTGAGTACCTGAGTTCAACTGCCAGCACCTACATGGCAGCTCACAACCATCTGGAACTCCAGTTCCAGGGCATCTGATGCCCTCTTCTGGCCTCCATGAGCAGCAAGCATGCAAAGGGTGCACAGACATACATGCAGGCAAAGCACCCATACACATTAAAAAAATAAAAAAAAAAATTTTAGAATGCAGATTGTATACACCCACAAACTTCAGCATCAGAGCTTACCGTCACATTTAGGCAAGACTGCCACTGAGCCGACAGGACCGCTAACACTGAGCTCAGGGGGAGGAAGAAGGCAGTCAGATAACGGTACTCACTGTGAGCCACTCCAGCCTCCACAGTGGGCTGTGCCCCTCGGGCGCTGCCCAGGCTGCCACTCTTGACCAGACGTCCGGTGGGTGAGGATGGTTCCCGCAGAGTTCGCCCAGCCCAAGTAGTCTGGCGCTGCAGAGGACGGGTTGGGGAGGCGTGCTCCAGATAGGGCTCTGGAAAGCAGAATTTAGCCCCAGAGTGAAACAACCCCTTGGGTCGACCTGGGTTTTGCAAGGTTTTTCCTAGGTAGAATTCTGTGCCTCTGCTGCCAAACAAATGCAGTTTATCTACACACAGAAAGGCCCTGCCAGCCCTAGTTTTCCAAATATCTCCCCACCCGAACCCAGCTACCTCATCTAGCCCTGTCTTCTCCCTTTAACACAAAGCCTCACTATGTATTCCAATCTGGCCTGGGTATGCGACATCAACCATCCTGTCTAAGCTCCCCAGCGCTATGACTGTGGGCCTGAATCATCATGTCTGCCAGTCCCTACCCACCTGTCTGAGAGCTGTCTGACCCCTGCGGCACGGCCACCTGTTGCTGCTGCTGCTGCTGCTGCTGCTGCTGCCGTCGGTCCTTCAAGGGCTGGCGGAACTGAGCAGCCCCCAAGACAACATTCCGGAGCTTGGCCCAGCGTAGGCGTCCACCCGGAGTACCAGATGGCCATTTGCTTTCCAGCACAGCCTGCCAATCACAATGCCCACCAGGATGGCCTAGTCATGCCTTACCTCCTGTCCTGAACCCCACAGGCCACCTTCTTTTTTTTTTCCGGACTTGCTATCTAGGATTGTTTAACCAATGGCTCACCCAGAAACAAGAGCCCCAGAGGGGTACAATCAGTAGTAATGGAGAAAAGTATATCTGGGCTCTAGTGTTTAAGTGTTAGTTTGTTGAGACAGGGTCTCACTATGTAGCCCTGTCTGGCCTGAGACTCACTGTTTAGACCAGGCTGGCCCTGAACTCAGAGAGTTCCTGCTTTTGCCTCCTGATTGCTAGAATTAAAGGTGTGTGCCACCGCCCCCTCTGGCTTACACCCTACTTATAAACTGAATAGCTTTGAAGAAATTATCTCAACTGCTTGACTATTTAGTTTCCTTATCTAACAAGCATGGTTAGGAGGCTGAATTCTGCCTATACTCTGTTTCTATTCTGACTCCCTGACATGCTTACTATGTGACCTGGAGCAAGTTACGAATTCTCTGCAACTTCAATTCCTCTGATACAGGGAATGACCATCTATGCCCTGTGGAGATAAATTTATTTGAGATGTGTAATGTATCTGGAACAGTGTCTAGCATGGAGTTTAAGGTTGTTGTAAATAAGAAATCAAAAGAGATAAGTCTGAAAAAACAAACAAACAAACAAACAAACAAACAAACAAACAAACCCTTCTGTCTGCACAAAGGCAACAAAGAAGCATAAAAGATGACAGCAGCCACAGGACCAGGAAGAACTGCATAAGCCTAATCTCCAAGGAATGGGGCAGCAGCGGCGGTGAAGGCCCAGCGCCCTCCCACGTGGCCTGCAAGGCTGCCATGCTTCCTGTTCCCCAGTGAGGCACCTTGTTGTAGTAGCCGTAGGTGATGGTGTTGGGCACGATGCCCGCCCTCCGCATCTCCAGCATGACTCGCACAGACAGCACGGGCTGCCCATAGTGCGAACACAGCTGCATCAGCACTCGGTAGCACACCTAGACCAAGAGAGGCACGGGACGGAGGGGACAGCGTCTAACCTGAACCCCGAGGCTCAGTAAGCACCCTCTTCCAGCCTTGGCAGCTCCTTCCTGTGACTCTGGAGGCCTGCAGTCCCCACTGTCTTCCTCCCACACAGGCTCATGCACTGTTGACAGAGAAGCTCCTCCATCCACTTTACCTGGTCTCCACCAAGTCTCCCTCTCACAGTCCCTATAGTTGCACATTCCTGCTGGGATGAGAGGCAGGTGTAGGCACAGAGGTAACGAATGCCTACCTCGTCAGGGAGCACCACCTTGCGGCTCTCCATCTCACGCAGCACGTGGTAGGCTGTGTGCAATGCCCGCACCCGGGAGGATGTCGAGCGCACATAAGCAGGCAGGCACAGGAACCACAGCCCGTAGCAGTGACCCAGCAGGCACCGGGCCCACAGCTCGGGCACAGAGGCCGACTTCTGTGCCATCCGTTGTGCAACCTTCATCTCCTAGGTGGGATAAGAAACACACCAAGGTAAATACAATGCCGGGGCAGAGAGCTTTCCTTATTTTGATGTTTTTCTGAGAAGAATCTTGTCAGATAGCCCAGGCTGAACTCAAACACAAGATCTTGCCCCAACCTCCTGAGTGTAGGTCAGTGCGAAAAGCAACACTTTTCCTGAGTCAGGGTCTATGTTCTAAGGAGGTAAGAGGGTTAAAGAGCTGCCTAAACTACAACCCTCCCCAGAGCCTCAGGAGGGCAAGTAGCCTGACAATGGACACCTTGCAAGAGGTAGCTAGCGCCTGTGTTCCCAGAGTGCTCAGGGATGAAGATGAGGAGGAGGATGGTAAATGACAGCGGCAACAAAAGCTTATATGTGTACAGAATTTTATTGGTTTGGTTTTTTGAGACACGGTCTCACTATGAAGCTTTGCCTGACCTGGAATTCACTACATGGACCAAGCTGGCCTCAAATTCACACATTTGTCTGCCTCTGCCTCTTGAGTGCTGGATAAAAGGTACGTGCCACTATGCCTGGCTGTACATTGTTTCTTGATGTTGTTTTGGGGGTTTCTTCTTGTTGTTTATAGAGACAAGTTTTCTTTGTATAGCCCTGGCTGTCCTAAAACTCACTCTGTAGACCAGGCTGGCCTTGAACTCACAGACATCTGCCCGCCTCTACCTCCCTAAGGAGTGCTGGGATTAAAGGTGTGCACCACCACCTGGTTGCACAATGTTTTGTTGTTTTTAAAGATTTATTATTTATACAGTATTCTGTCTGTGTGTGAGCCAGCAGGCCAGAAGATGACACAAGATCTCTTTATAGATGGTTGTGGGCCACCATGTGGTTGCTGGGAATTGAACTCAGGACCTTTGGAAGAACAGCCAGTGCTCTTTACCTCTGAGCCATCTCTCCAGCCCTGTTGTTGGTTTTTAATGTACCAAGCTTATATAGACTTCCCAGCAGCTTTAAGGGGTAAGCACCATTAGTCTCTTCATTTGACTATGAAGCAAAACAACCGTTGCACCAGGCTCCCCGATGCGGCCCACTGCTGGTTACCTGTTTGGTACGGCGAGGTGCAGGACTGCTGGGGGCACTTCGGGACGGGCCTGGCACAGGGAGGGCCCCCCGTTGTTCCTGAGGAGACTCAAAAAGCTCAGCTTTTAGCTCTGGAAACCCATCATAACTGGAGAGACGGAGGACATGGGGGCAGTTAGCATCGGGCCGAGCGTGGGCCTCAGGACAGGCTGAAGGGAGAAGACCCTCCTACCTGTACTGGGGAATAGATTCACTGCCTTCCAGTACCGGAGGCTCCTCTGGGGGTGTGATAAAGACAGTAATCTCACTTCCTGATAGCTCTTCCTCCAGCTCCACCAAGGGTGTTGGCTCAGGCTTCTCCTGCTCTGGGTGGACCTAGGCAGGACGGTAAAAGAATAAGAGTGAAGACAATGAACATGGAACAGAGCCAGGCTGCCCAGAAGATGGCCTCTACCAGAAAAACATATTCATTCATAGGAAAGGCATCCTGGAGATCCATCTGGAAGAGCAGAGTCGGGAATGAAAGGGTAGTAAAGGGCCGAAGCTGGCCATGGGTGGCTGCAGGACTGCCATCACAGTCACGCTGACACACACAGAAAATAGTGGACTGAGGGCAACAGGGACAACTAGGAGGAACCCGGTAGTCAGTTGATACACGCAAACAGAGGGACAACGTCCAATACCTTGTCAACACAAGAGTCAAAGAACTCGAGGGCAGCATGCCGGGCAGATCCAAAAGAGCACTCCTCGATGAACTGTGAGAACATCTGTGTGTGCAGCAGCTGAGAGTACAGCTTGTGGCTCGAGCGTTCCCGGGACTTGAGGAAACCTGAGGGGTGAGGCCGGGCCAGGAAGGAGGTCACCACAGCTCTCTGACCCAGCCATCTCCTCCCTGCCCCCTGCTCACAGCTCTTGCCACTCAGGACCTATGGCTCTCACAGTCACCCTTCTCCTCAGATCAGCTCAGCTTGCCAACACCACAGTTCTGTGGAGTCCCTTCCATCTGTTCACACTGCTGCAGACTAGGGCTTCTCTGAGGGCAGGTCCCTCACAGAGCTCTGACCCTGGTTCCTGCTCAATACCAGGATGACCATATTCACCCTATGCTAAGGACTCCCAGACAGTAGGGCACATTCACACATAGGCCTTGCTTCCCTCCAAAACCAGAAGAGGGGAGGGATAAGCAGGGCGCTTGCTGCCAGCCAGTGCCCCTTTCACTTTTCTCATGGAGCCTTGCCTCCTAACCATGCCCTCCCTCAAAATCATGCCCTTCCTTTGGCCAACAAAAGACCCTCTTTATTTACCCTGAAGGTAGAAAAGGTTGTCTACATCACGAGCCCCCTCAGAGGGGGCCTGGGTGAGAGGGCGCAGGAAGTCCCGGTAGCCTTTGAGGAGACAGGCCATGAAGCGCAGGAAGGCTCCCTGGACTTCCCGCTCCAGGCGCGTCCGGCGGCCACAAACTGCCTCGTAGTCTGTCAGAAGGAATTCCAGGGAGGCCTCCTCCTCTGGTCCAGTGTAAGCTGGGAATCAATGTCTGAGAGTCAAGGTTAGCACCCTCAGGGCTTGCCTCACCCTGTCTCCATCTTCACCACTAGCCTCTGACAGAGCTTACACCAGGAGTGGCCAAAAACTTACCTTTGGGCACCAGTTTCCAGACTCTGCAGTGACAGGCTCAGCTTTCTGGAGGAGCTCAGGAATGCTGCTCCCCCACCCCAGCCTGTAGCTTTGCTTTATTCCCGCCATATCCACACTCTGCCAACCACTTGAGAGAAAGCCTGTTGCTCCCAGCCCTGCCCTCAAACTGGAGATTTGAGGCCTACAACAGCTTCCAGCCTCCCAAGCCCACCAGCTTCTTACTCTGGTCCAGCTGCTGGTACAGATTTGTCAGTGTGGCCAGCAAAATCTTGTATGGTCTTCGGGGCAGGGTCCTCGCAGAGAGGGGCTTCTTTTCCTCTGTTCTGAGAGATAACATAAGGAGAAAAGATGGTGGCGCTTCTCCTCACCCCGCCCCAGCCCTGGCGCATCCCCCCTCCAGCCCTCAGACAGTACTCAGCCTCTCACTGGAAGAGTGAACCACTGGTGGCCCCACCCCCCCAGCCCTGGCACATCCCAGCTCTGGCCCTCAGACAGTATTCAGCCTCACTGGAAGAGTGAACCACTGGTGGCCCCACCCCCCAGCCCTGGCGCATCCCCGCTCTGGCCCTCAGACAGTACTCAGCCTCACTGGAAGAGTGTGTTGGTATTGAGATCCACACAGATGACATCGGCAGGTGGGTCATGCAGATCAAAATAGCTGGAGTGGATACCCACGATGAAGGGCACAGGGGCACTCAGCACATCCGCCAGCACTAGCGGGCACAGCGGAATGTAGGGGCACTGCCAATGCAGCGGGAAGATCATCTAAAGCATCAAGCAGTGACAACCAGTGAGCACAGGGCACCGGCCTTGGGGAGGTGGGACTTCTATTGAAGAAGCCAGTGGAGCTAATCTCGACAAAAGACCCTGGGTCTGATAACACCCTTGTAGACAGACTGAAGACCCTCTCCCTAGGGAGGGAAAAGGAGAAGGCTCCAGATGTGGGTGAAAGCACCAGAAAAGACAGCAGTTCTGGAGAAGTAGCCTAGACAGCGTGGCACTCACCGAGACAAGGGCTTCACAGACGCTGGTGAGCAGATCTGGCCGCAGCGAGTGGACCAGCAGTTTGTGCTCCGTGAGCACAGCCAGCAACAACGTAATAGCCAATTCCGGGCCCAGGTTCTGCAGCAGCTGCAAAAAGCTAGCACCACTGCAGGAAGTAAAAAGAAAAAAGGGTCCTGAGAGACTCTTTCCCAGACACTGGGCACAGACACCACCGGGACCAGTTTGCAAAGATCTCAATAGCTGTATCAGCTGACTCGTACTTCCTATTATAGCCCATGTCATCAAAGCCCCCCCCCCCCCCCGCCTTAGGCACATACCTGAGGGGCAGGGGTGAGGAGACGGGTTGGCAGAGCAGCAGGTTGTCATAGGGAGACATCTGGGGGAGGAGTCACAGGTCAGGATGCTCATGGCTAGCCCCTGCCAACGCCTCTCCTTCCATCCAGCCCAGCCCTAGGCTCACCTCTCACCTGCACTAGGATGCGTGGTCTCTGTGGGGAAGGGAATGGGACGTTGTGAATGAAGTGGGAGATGTGCCTAGGGAGAGAGGAAAAAGGTGAGGCCTACACTCCAATCTACCATCCTACCCTTCCACATAGTCTCCTCTCTAGCCTCAAGACTTCATTCCTCCTGGACCCCCCACTTGGATCAGCTTGCAGCATAGATCCTGTGTGCATAGATGCCCTTGCCCGATCTGGAGGCACACATGTACAGCACAGCAAGCTCCAGCCAGGGCTACTGTGAGAGCCTCCCTAAAAAGAATTAAAAAGCCAGGTATCGGTGGCATGTGCCTTTAATCCAAGCACTTGGGAGGCAGAAGCAGGCAGATCTCTGAATTCAAGGCCAGCCTGGTCTACAGAGAGAGTTCTGGGACAGCCAGGGCTAAACAGACAAAACCTGTCTAGAAAAACATAAATAAATAAATAAATAAATAAATAAATAAATAAATAAATAAATAAATAAATAAATGAATGAATGAATGAATGAATGAATGAATGAATAAATAAATAAATAAATAGGTAAGCTGGGCACCTTGGCACATGCCTTTAACCCCAGTACTCAGAAAGTCACCTCTGTGACTTTTGAGGCCAGCCTGGTCTATGCAGAGTTCCAGGCCACCCGGGGCTATATAGTGAACCCTGCCTCAAAAACAGATCCCTGTTGGGCATACACAGACCTAGCCAAGAGCCAACTGACAGATGCAGGCTGGTTCCAGGTGCCCCTTCCCTCTAGCCAGAAGTTTAAACGGGCAAACTCTGTAACCGCACACTGCAGCCCTCCTGCCTCAGTGTACCCCGCCCACTTCCGTTCTCTGCTCCCGTTTATCCTCTCTAACGCCTCAGAATCCCGCAATGTCAGGAGAGCCATGCTCACGCTTCCAAGGGCAGACGATGGGGGCCTGAGACGGAGTAGCGGTAAAGGAAGGTGAGGAAGGCTCGGAAGGCTGGGAACGCAGGCCAGCGGGACAGCACAGCAATGGCTCGCCGGCTTCGTACCGCCCGGCCCCCCAGGGCCCGGCCCCGCTCCACGGCACTCAGCAGGCCCAGGGCCCGAGCCTGCCTCTCTGACAGCCTGGCCATCGGGAACGCCTCATAGAACTGCAGCGCCGCACCATACACCTGGCAGGGGTACGGGGAATCATCAGAGGGCGCTGCACGGTGGGGATCCCTCACCACACTGCACACACCCACCTTATCACCAGCAGCACCCGTGAGCACAAAGGTGGAGAAGACGGGCACCGGGTACTTGGTCTGGGCAGGCCAGCACTCGATGGTGGCCCCCATGGGCAGGCAGAAGACGGGCACTGACTCGGGCAGCGGGAATGCCTCATTGTCTTCCTCTGGGTAGCGGCCCAGCAGCTCTATACCCCAGCGGAATTAAGAGTACACATATTAGAGTGAAAAGGTCCACTGGATCCCAGGTAAAGAGACTAGAGGATAGGGCTGGCGAGATGGCTCAGTGGTTGAGTGCTGGTTGATCTTCTACAGGACCTGGGTTCAATTCCTAGCACCCACATGGCAGCTCATAACTGTAACTCAGGGAGCTGACAACCTCACACAGACATACATACACGCAGGCAAAATACCAAGACATAAAAAAATAAATAAAATAAAAAGAAAGAAACTAAGATCCCAGAGAATGATTAAGTGGCAAAGGGAAGGAAATTCTGGGTTCACTGAAGTTACAGGCCAAGAGGCACCAAGCAGAGGAACAGAGGGTCAAAGGGTAAGCAGGAAAAGGGGCCACTCACCTGCCTCATACACCAGTGTGTTGGCCTTGGCCAGGCCCACTTTGTAGCACAGGAACACTGCTGGGCCCCACTGCCCCATAAACGGCAAGAGACAAGCAGACATATCACTAACAAAGGTTTCTGGGTTCATCTTCTCTCTCCCACCCTTCAGTTGTCTTTTCTCTTCGGAGATGCCCCTAATTCCAGCCCTCCTAGCCAAGCCACCTCTGATCCGACCCTGGTGTCTGTGGCCTTGGTCCCCGAACACCCTGGGTGTCCCATGTCCACACCCTCACACTAACAGCCCAGGCTTCAGCTATCAGTACCCCGGTTCCACTCACCATGCCGGGGTTGAGGTTGCGGGGTACCCGGCAGTAAGTATGAGGAGTGCCCTCGCCCTTGCTGGGTAGAACCAGGCAGAGGTCAGTGATGCCCAGGGCATGCAGACCTGCGCCCTCTGCTGCCCGCCGGTACGTGAGGTAGGTGCGGGGGTGCCCAGGGCCTGGAGGGGCCAGGTTGGCTGAGTGGCTATATGGTGTCGTGTCAAGCACTTGGAACCCAGCCTTGGGGCGCTCCTTCCCTTCGTATAACACCCTGGCACAGAGAGTAGAGACATCAAGAGGTCGGGAGAGAAAAAGACCTGGGTCCTGCCAGAGCTGCCTACCTAAGTCTGCCTTGCTCTCTCAGCCTTGTCAAACCCTGGTAAAACAACCCAGCACTTCCTGCTTAGCTCTGCCCTCTAGACCCTGTAACCATCCCTTCAACCCCCGCCTTCCACAGCTCTCAAGAAGAAGCTCTGAGACCCAATAGACTCTGTTCAGTTCCTCACATGGCTTATTTTATTTAACGCTCTGAACCAGGTGGAGAGGAATCACTATCCTCACTTTGCAGATGAAGAAACATCCGCTGGCAAGCAGCAGCACGGGCAGTGAGCCCCTCCTCTTGACCACTAGCCCATTCTGCTGCGGTTCCCAATTTCCTCCTCTCAACCCATATCCCTGCCTCTTCTTGGCTCACTCAAGGGTCCCTCCCAACTTCCTTTAGTGCCAGCACAGATAGGGGTACATACCCCAGCTCAACGAGGGGGGGCTTGTCACGCCCCCTGCGGTAGCAGATGACTGGCTGAGTTCCACCCAGAAGCCCAGCACTGAGCTCCAAGGGGTGGCCACCAGCAGAAGTCTGGATGCATGTGTAGCCCTGGGGCACCTCCTCGCCCAGGGCCCTCGCTATGACTGCCACATCTGTAATAGGTTCAGCTGGCCGGGGAGGACGCCGGGGTCCAGTAGGTTCGGGAATCCACGTCTCTTCAGGTATGGGTGCTCCGCTTGCTGCAAGCCCAGCCACCACGAAGTAATCCACCAAGCGGGGAGGCCGCTCCTCCGCCATCGCCCCCCCTTCACTCACGGCATCTGGAACGGTCAATTGAGGACGAGATGGAGCAAGAGAGGCTGATGTTCCCACGGCAACCATAGTGGACCCCCCCTTCTTTCCTCTTCCTAGTTCTTCTAAGGCAAGGATAAGTGATCAGCCAATCCCGAACCCTCCCACCTGTGACATCACCAGACTCTCATATCCCACCACTGCTCCTTAGAGACCACTGGGTCCTTCCTTCTTAGTGACATCAGCCCTTTCTTCCCAAAGAACCCAAACTTCACTCTACAACACATGTCTGACATAGTGTTCACCTATTCCTTTAAAGGCCTGGCCCTCTTCACCCTTTCCCATTGTACCTCAGAGAACACAGTCTTTTCCGTAATGGCCTGCAATGACATCATTCGCTCCGGCTACCACATCATACCAACCTCGGCCTTTTCAAAGATCTTTGGCCTTCCTGCTCTGCAGTGACACAAGACTCTTCGGATGCAGCTAACGCTAAAGCAGCCATTCTTACATTTTCAGAAGAGCCCCACAGGTTTCTGGGAAGGCTTGCAAAACCCAAGATTTAGCCCCTGTTCCTCAGACATCAAGTATCCTTTTTTTCTAGGTTAACTTTATGTTTTTGGCCAAGCAATTAGGGCTTTCCCATCTCCGGGATCCTCAGGTGTCTGCAGTTAGGCACAAAGGGACTGTAGGACAGCTCCAATCCTAGGCCCATGCCGCCCAGCCCCAGACAGAATAAGCCCCACAACAGTCTATGGGTAACTGTTCTCACCTGCCTCCATGGCCTGACCTTGGGGAGTGGAAGCCCCAAGAGTCCTGAGGTGCCCCAGGGTGCTGAAGGCGGGAGAAAGCCTGGAGGGTGGCCTGCACGGGGCTAGAGGCTGGGAGAGTGCTTCAGAGGGGAAGGGAGGTTACTTCCTGAAATGGCTTCGAAGGGGAAGCTGCAGCTCGCTCAGCACAAGTCAGCCTATGGGTGTGTGGTAGCGCTGCGGAGGGTGGGGGGTGGGTAGCACTGTTGAAGGTTCCAGCACAGCATCAGACCAAGACAAACCTCACACTAAGGATCCTGAACAAGCCAGAGGAAGCTCCCAATGTCTCCTGGATGCACAGTCTATTTAACCTCCAACTTTTCCTCAGGGAACTGGAGTCAAAACGGCCCTCTTCTTAACCTGGCCTCTGGACACACGCCCCAACTCAAGCTAAATTTAGCTTGAGCTTCTCCACATCTGAGAGGTGAAGCCAGGAGTCAGCGTCAGCCTCCTGATTTAACTCCAGGACAGCGCTCCCTGTCTCAGCCACTGCAGGCCAATAGGGGCTCTGTGGCCCTGGCAGGCAAAAGCCGTTAGACGAGACCCTCTATAGGCAAGTGGGTGGCCCCGGACCAACAGGACTGTGCATCCAGGTCTTCCCTCATCCAGCCAGGGCAGAGTCGTATAGAATGCAGCCCCTTCTCCCTTGAGGAAAACAACGGCACTGAAGCCACTTTGGGGACCAACATCCACACGCCAGATGATGGGAAACCCGGGCTAGTGCAGAGGGCGCGCCGCAGGGGAAGTGGCTGACCAAGGGGGCCACTGGGCCGAGAGAAGCGCGCGCATGGACTGCCGAGGACGTGACGGCAGCAGCGCCAGCATCCGCGTGACCCTAGCGGGAAGGAGGGGTACTTGAGCGCCCGCGGGAGCTCGAGGTGGTAGGGTGCAGGGCACAGCGAGCTAGCTCCACTTTCACTTCCCTGGGAGGAGGAAGCGGAACCAGATGCGCAGCGCACAGCTGGGGACAGTCCCTCGCGCCGCCCGCCCTCCTCCCGCCCTTCCCCGCCCGCCGCCCCGCCCGGTCCGGCCCCTACCTGCCTGCCCTGGGACTCCCCAGCCGGCCCGCTGGCGGGTGGCTGCGAGGGCGGGCTGGCGGGCCAGGGGGCGGCCGGGCTGCTATCCAGCCCCGGACATGGCGCACTGGACTTGGGAGCCGCTCGCGCCCGGGCTGAAGGAAGAAGAGGCAGCCGAGAGCGCCGGGCACCGTGGAAAGAGATCTGGGCGGTCCCAGCGTCCCCGCGCGCTGCGCCACGCGGTAACTGCTGCCGCGCCGTCCTCCCGGCTCCCGCGGTGCTGGGGACCCCGCGCTCTTCTGTGCGCCCTGCTTTCCTCCCCCCGCACAGGAGAGCCGCGGGCGCCTCCGCTATTTCAGCACCCCCCCAACCCGGGCCTGCGGCCGTGACCCTCGCTTGCGCCGGCCCAACACCCTACCGCCTGCAGCGCGACCCCTGGTGGCTGGGAGGGCCCCTGCAACCAAGCGGATTCCCATTACCCGCGGACAAGGCAAGACACTGACCCCGGCTGGCCCGAAGTCAGAGGCGGTGCTTGGTCAGTCCTGCAGTCAGTAGGTGGCCACTGTGCCACGGTGAAGGCCCTCAAGATCTAGACCTGGGCAACCCAAGTGAATCCCCACTTCCAGGTTTAGAACCCACACTGGCCAGAGCCAGAAATTCTCAGTTCTTCTTTCGAGCAGCGACAAGAGCATTGAAAAGGAGGAAGAGAGGCATGCAGCCTTGTAGTGGAGGGGCAGCACTCTTTTCACCCCGCAGTGAAGGCTGACAGACCTATGTGGAACGTGGTTGTCTCCGAGGATCAATTGAGTTAAACTCAGAACAGTCAAATGGGTGAACTGATAGACAACGGAAATGTCCCAGAGTTGGTAAGGCCTTCCAAAATTAGATAACCAAGGGAGTCAGCTAGGCCTACTTAGAGTTCATAGTTACTAATCCTCTCTTCAGAAGCCCTAATACTGGGAATAGCTAACCCCAGGAGAGGTGATGTTATTCGAACAGAAACACCTGTGACCTGGGCCAACAGCCATCTTCTTACCCCAGGCCTCAGGCTGAGGAAGAGTAACTTGCCTGGCCAGTCAGGGTGCCCCATTCCCTGATACTGCAGCAGAGCCTTAGACAAACACACGGGCACAGAGGGTGACTTCCTGCTGCCATTGGTGAAGTCTATATTGGCTCTGGGCCATGTCCAGTTTGGGTCACAAACTTGAGGCTGGTGGCCCTCCACAAACTGCAACAGTGCTCAAAGGATGAAAACATACATCTAACCCTAGCACTCGGGAAGCTGAGGTGAGAAAACCACACATGACTTACTAGATAGCCTGAAATATGTAAGAGAAATCCTGCCTCAAAAAACAAAAAATATATGCAACTAAAAGGACCAATGGCACCAAACCTCCTTAAGTCCCCAGCCATATACAAAAGTTAATCACACAAGAGGTTTGATAGGATTTTTTATTAACATATAATATATTTAATAAAAAATAATATCCACTCTGGTTCTCCTCCATTGCAAGGAAGGGGAAGAGATAGGGAGGGGCCGGGAATGCCCACCCTTCTCTGGACAAGCCCTACCTCCAAGATTCCCCTCTACGCCTTGCTTTCCAACAGGCTCTGACCTCCAGACGGTTTTCAAAGTTACAAGTGCTTTAGGTCCTCCCTTGAGCTCCCCCAGGCATGTATAGCACTCAGGGGTTGCCTGGCCTCGCCCCTTCCCCTTCCTCATTTTTAGGATCCTTCATTCATATTAGAAAAAGGATCTGGGGGCAGAGAGTATAGTCTCTACTGGCCAGGGGAAGGGATGAAAAGGACAGTGACGGGACAGGGCCATGAAGGATGGCAGCCAGGCCCCCTCACTGTAGCCGATCGCTTCGGAATGAGTCCTCCACAGCAGGGTCAGGCAGCAGGGCACACGGGTCACTCAGCATGCTCAGTCCCTCCAGGCCCAGGGGCTCCATGCGAAGCTCATCTTCCAGCCCCAGTCCCAGCTCCAACCCGGACGCTGACACCTCAAAGCCAGGTACTCCGGCCAGGGCTGCTGCAATCTCCTTGGAGAAGCCTGGGGAGGAATCTCCTGTGTGTAGAAGAGGTTGGTAAGGAGCCCATGCCACACACCTCCCAACCTCTCAGTCTCCTGTCACACCAATGAAGCTGTCAAGTCTTCCTTCCCGTCTCCACCACCACCCATCCCCCCTCACCTGTGAGTATGAGATTAGGTCCTGAGCCATGGTGGGAACAGTGGGTCAAGTTCTGGTGGTTGAGGACATGAGAGTCCTGGGGGCCACTCACTGATCCCTCACTCCCTAAAAATCCAGGCCCTTCAGAAAAGGCAGGGGGATCCAGCACCAGACTGGCTGATGGGCTGTCCATGTTGAACTGCTCCAGCTAGGGACACACAGACAGACCTTAAGGAGGTGGGCTTGAGAGCAGGGTGTCCTGCCTAGCTCTGCGGTCCCCTTTGCCTAGCAAGCCCCATCCACCCAGGAAGAAAGGCAAAGACAGAGGGAGGTGACAGCAAGCAGAGCAACAGAAGCGAGCACGGGGCCCGCAATAAGTGTGGGCACCGTACCTGCTGGGCCAGAGCATGTGCATGCCAGGAAGAGAACGGGTCAAGGCAGGAGTCATCAAAGAGCAAGCTGAGCGGAAACAGAGGGGCAGGAGTGGGGGTCAGACACAGGAAGACAGGAGCCCAAGCTGGCAGTGCTATGTTACCTAGGGGAAAAGCTCCAAGTTGAATGTACCAGAGACCACTCAGGCACCTGACCCACCCTCCTCCGCCCCTCCCATTTCAGAGCCATGAGTCTGTGTACTCACATTCCCCAAGCTGAAGTCATTTACTGGCCGATGGTAAGGCTGTTGCCCATGCCCACTGGACCCAGGTGGGTACAGTGCCCCATAATGTGGCTGCCTGCCTGGGGGCTGTCCACCTGAGGGCTGCACTAAGCAGGCCTGAGAGGGCAACTGCTGTAGAGACTTTGGGGTGGGTATAACCAGACTTGGGGGGCTGTATGGGTACGGGGGCAATCGCTGGTCAGTAGGCAGTTTACTGGTATCCAAGGGGACGCCCTGAAAAGGAGGAGGAGGAAATGTATTCTTTAGTGCGATCTCCTAAGAGAACACTTAGTTCCCCACCCTCTAAGCAGCACCTAGCCTCAATACAAACACAACAATGCTCCCAGCCAGGAAAGATAGGAAGACTGTGGGTCTGGGTCTGCCTGGCTAAAAGTATCTCCTAGGCCCCCCAAAACCAACAACACCCAATGCTCCCATGCACACCTCAGGGGTTGGTGTAAATTACACAAAATGCATATCAAAATGTGAGTGCTAAATGAGACTAACAACAGGTTAACTCTTAGAGCCATTCCACAAATGATCATTCCTATACACCTCGGTACTTGGCTCTCAGTAACAGTCCTTGTGACAGCTCACAAGTGACTGACTGTTAATGCCACAGCGTGGATCTGCTGTTCTGAAGCCCTGAAGAGGCAGAGGGAAGGAGAGGAAGAACTAGAGGAGATGTGAAGGGTGAACTTCCCTTACTGGCATGGATAGTCTTCCCTACAGGAGAGGGCACAGATGGAACACAGAACATACATCCAGGAAACAGTAATTGAATAGGACAAAGGACTGCAGAGAGGAAGAAAGGAAGAGGATGAAGGAAAAGTGGGAGAAAGATTTTCTTTTTTTTTTTTTTTAAAGATGGAGAAGGAAGAACTGAGAACTTTAGCACAGAGTCAAGTCTAAAAAGAAAAAAAGAAACACAATGTGGGCATGGTAGCTCACACCTATAATCCAAGCCGTTAGGAGGCAGAGGCAGAAAGGAGCAGATGTTCCAGGCTAGCCTCAACTATACAGTGAGTTCAAGGCCAGATGAGCTACAGGAGACACTGGATCTCAACCCTCTTCCTTGATTGTTGTGTAAATCTTGGGAAATTGCTTTCACTGCAGGTACCATCTATACAGAGTGAAAGGACAAGGCCGTGTGGTCTAAGATTCTTGGGGTCTATGAATTCTAGTATAGAAAACAGAGAAACGTGAGAGGGACGGACAGGACAGAATGAAGGGGGACGAGAACTGGCAAAAGAGGGATAAGAAGAAAGGCAAATAGGTAAGCTATAGTGGTGCCTGTGCTAGGCACACGTGTTATTGTATCTGGTGTCACAAAACCATTCTTGTTTTTTCAATGAGACTGCTGAGGCTCAGCAAAGTTCAGTGACTTACTGTGTATGGAGACAAGTATCAAGAGGCAGAACGATGATGTGAAACCCAAAAGCTTAATGCCAGAGTTTGTACTCTTAAGCAGAGAGGGGACAAGATAGATAAAAGCTAGGTTGGGACAGGACAGAGAAATGAAGGGATGGATGAGACAACGGGCATAGCACAGGAAGGAGAAGGGAAACGTATGTAGGGAGAGTGCCACGCATACCTGAGTGATGGAAGACAAGGTGGGTGACATTGTTGGCGAAAACTGTTTGGGCAGCTGCTGTTGGGACCTCCTGGCGTCGGCTGGGCCCGCGGGCAAGCTCAGGGGGCTGAGGGGCACTCGGCGGTGGCGGGGAGAGGCCCCAGGAGTAGAGGCTGGGTAAGGGGGGGCACTAAGGACAGGAGACGAAGTGGACGAAGAGGAAGAGGAGGAGGAAAGGGCAGGGGCACTAAGTGACGGGTGGCCGAGGGAGGTGGTGGGCAGTGCATGGTGGGCCAAGGAGGAGGCAGGCAGTGATGGGTGACTATGGGAGCCCTGGAGCTGGGGTTGAGGACTGCTTAGGGAAGCCTGGAGGTTGGGATTGCTTAGGGAGGACTGCAAGGATGGGTGGCTAAGAGGTGAGTGAAGTCCTGCAGACACAGACAAAAACCAGAGATGCCAACATTACTGATGAGAACTGGGCCCCTTTCCACCCAGAATGGGTAGCAGGAACCAGACTATGACAACACAAGGTCCTCCTTAACTCTGTCCCTGACAGTGAGATTGGCATGACCCATTTGGGAGTTATTCTCCATCTTTTTCCCATTCTTCCTGGGGGAGAATTACAATGAGGGGACGTGAGGAGCAGGGTTGATGGGCAGTCACAGGATCCCAGATCAAGCCTCCTTCCCCTTCGCCCTTCTAGCCAGGCAGCATCTGCTGGTCACATGACCAGGACAAGGTAGCTGCTCAATACTCACCTGGTACATCATAGCTGGGGCCCAAGCCCAGACCTCCACTAATGCCCAAATGGGTCATAGTGTGGGTCAAATTGGAGGTGCTGTTGCCCCCACTCAGGCTGGGGTAGACTGTCTCCTCAGGGTCCAAGGGAGTGGGTAGCGGAGGGGGGAAGTGCAAGTTGGTGAGGTCAGGTAGGGAGCCCCCCGTGTTCATGGCAGGCAGGAGGACAGGCACATTGGCAGGCTGGTCAGGAGATGGAAAGATACTAGGCAGGACAGAAGAAGAAAGACAGAGAGAGAAAGCATTTGGAGAAGAACAGAAATCAGTCTTCCACATCTCTCTCCTTCCCTCCCTCGATCTCACTCCAGCTTTCTAGTGGTACTTACTTGATTCCAGGGACTTCACAGGACCGGGGTCGAGAGGAAGATGAAGTCAGCTGAGAAGAGAAGGAAGAGGGTCAGAAATGACAGACCTCGGTGGGAATCCTGAAAAGGCTGTCCCAGGGAGAGAGGAGAGCAGAGAGTTAGTAGAAGACACCCAGTGGCCCTTACCTACCTTCTTAGCATCCCAAGGTTTCAGCAAATGCTTGTCACCTACCAAGTTCTCCTCGATAGCAGGGACTTGAAAGAGAAAGACTGGTGAGCGGAAGGCTGGAGGAGGAGCCAGTATGGCAGGACAAGAAACAGAAGCAGGCAAGAGGGAATCCTGTCCCCTGACCCCATACAAAGTCCCCAACATCTGGCATTTGTTACCCACGACTGGTAAGAACACATACCTTTAGCATCCATCTCACCATCCAGAAAACCTGCAGGGGGTGCAACAGAGGTGGCTGTAGTGCCTACTTGTTTGCCTACTTCAGTAAAAAACTCCACAGCTATTCCCTGGGCCACCCACCTCCTCGGCGGCTGGGCAGGACACTGGGAGGTGTGGGGCCAGGATAAGTGTCTTGGGGGTTGGGGTTCATCACACTTGTGTGAAGAGCGGAGTCAGAGCTCGTCCTGTTAGAGGAGCAGAGTTGAGTAGCAGTGATAACAGCAATCTTCCAGCTACTAAAACACTGCCCAGAATACCCACACTATGACCCATTTGGGCATCAGTGGAGGTCTGGGTTAGAAAAGGGAGTCAAGTAGAGGAGGGCCCCAGAAAGGAGAGGGAAGAGATGTGGACTAACAAAGTGAGGGACTGTCACCTGTTAAGTGCAGATGGCAGTCGAAACAACTGCCCCTTCTCAGCCGGGAGGTTGCCCCAGGGCATCATCCTAGGATAGAGAAGTTTTGAGGAGGAAGAAAGCACTGGCAATGGGCAAGAGAGGCTTAGGGGTAGAAAAATGTGTGGCATGAAAAGGCCCTGGTACCCAGTATCATGCCTCCTTTTTTTTTTTCCTGGTTCTTCTGAAGCCTGTGATGCATGTGCCCTGACCCCTGCTCGATCTAAGAGACCTGGAAACAGAAACTCCTCTCGGCCAAGGCAAGCTGAGCGGAAATGCTGAAGCCCAGCAAGTTTTCTGGACACAAATATTGGAGTTGAGACAGAGAAAGGAGGGGTTCAAAGATCTACCAGTGTCACAGCATTACAGCTGGCATCCACTACTATGAGAACGAAGCCATGTTCACCTGCCACGCTGCCACTCTCCCCTCCCCCTCAACTACACACACCCCAACTTAGCTACAAGTTCCATTGGTTCTGCTAGCTGGACTAGAAGGCTTGGCCACTCATGTCAACATGGCCAAGAGTGGACTCTGACCACCACCCAGCTGCCCCACCCTCCCAGCTTGGCCTTTACAAGAGGACTGTGGAAACCTCAGCCCAGCACCTATCTCCCCCCAGCCCCTCTAGAACATGCCACAGACCAGATGGTGGGAAATTCTACCTGCACTGGACTCACCTTCGCCAGCCAGACTCTGGGGGAGGAGATAAGTAGGCAGGGCTATAGGGAGAACTGTCAATGTGAATACTGTGGTTAAGGAGAAAAGCACAGAAGACATGAAGCAATGAGGGAGAGTCACTTATACAAGTAAGCTGGTGGTTCGTTGCTAAAATCCCAAAAGTTAGGGTGCTGAAGCATGGGGATTTTCAGCTGTAGGCCAGTGATAGATACATAGTGAGATGCTGTCTAAAACATAGACACACACACACACACACACACACACACACACACACACACGCACTCGCGAAGGAAGAACAGAAGGGAAGCCAGGATTGTATCTCAGTAAGAAGGCCACCTAACCTGTTAGGACCTAGTGCGACGACAATAAAGCAAACAACCAGCAAAACAGAACAAAAATACGCACGGTGGTCTACACCTGTAATCCTAGCACTTAGCAGGCAGTGCCAAGGAGATCACCAAAAGTTCAAACCTTACCTGATTTACCTATCAAGTTCCAGAAAAGCCCAGATGGAATGAAACAAAACAAACAAAAAAGAAAACCAGGACAGGCATTCGCCTTTAATCTCAGTACTCACAAAGCAGAGGCAGACAAGCTACACAGCAAGCTCCAGGTCAACCAGGACTACGTAGAGAAACCCTCAGAAAGCAAAAAAGGAAAAAAAAAATTTTTTTTTTAAAATTAGGCCAAGCTTAGTAGAGCTGGAATGAGGCTCGGGAGGGTTAGGTAGACAAATATGGTAAGGCCTCTAGGAATGAAATTCACAACAGAATGGGAGAAGGGACAGAATCCCCTTTCCACGTAACAGCGAGCTTTACAATAAAGTGAGCAGGAGTAAGGCCAGCCAGGACCAGCACCAGGGAGGGCCCTGTCACAGAACACTGCGTGTTACAAGAGCCTGTGCTGACACACAGGCTGTGGTCCCTTTTCAGGAAGACTGGGTGAAGAACTGGAGGAAGATGAAATCGAGCACATGAAGTTGAAAGCTCCTTCCCACAAGGAGTCTCCAAAGAGCCCCTTCCTACCCTTTGCCCTTAAACCATTTGTGAAGGATATGTGGCGGGGGTATCGGCGGAGTGGGGACACCATTCTGCGGGGATCTCGTTGTACCCGTTCCACCAATCCATGGTGGCGAGTGCTCCGAGAGGAATCCAAAGGTGAATGGAGGGGGCTCTGCCAAAAAGAACAGGTGAGATCAGCAGGGGAAGTAGCCTGAGAGCCTACACTCCTTGGCCGGTGTCTACTCACCTGAAACTCGGCCAGGCCAGAGCCAATCTGGTTAACATTGGGCAGAGAACCACCATAATGGGAGCTCCTTGTATAAGCCAGCCGTAGTTTTTGGGCCTGTAACTGAGATAAAAGAGACAAATGGGTATGTCAGGGAAGTTTATGAGCACTGTTCCCTTTGGCCATCTTTGTCATTTCTGTCACCAGAATATACTACTGCTTTCTAAGACATCTGCCAGTACAAAAGCAGTGATGGAGAAACGCCAGCAAGACCTGGTACAAACAACCCACCCCAGCCTTTCAGCAACTTCCTAATCAAGAGCTCCCTACTGCCTTGAAAACCCCTGTTAAGCAGGGCCTGACACAGTGCAAGGCCTGACCGTCTCTTGGTATCCCCATTGAGGAAAGTCACACGATGGTGGCCTATTAGGCACCTCTGCCTTCATTTCCAGATGGGTCCAAGACTACTTAGAAGATGAGGGGAAGACAGGAGTTGATACTAAAGATCCATTATTGCCATTTTCTTTTCTTCATACTCTGAAGAGAAACACTGAAGAGTTCCTGGGATCTGCTTTAGAACAAGGCTGCACAGTCTGCACATCCCAAACTATAAAACCCCAGAAGTGATAACTCCTCTGCTAAAAGAGCGGTACCCAAACCAAGGATTCTTCTGCTGGATACTAAGATGCCTGAATTGGCAGAGGAGGAAAGGGCACAGTAGCCTATTCCAACTTGGGCAGGGCCATCTCCTGCCACTGTGTGGAGATGTCTGCTGAGGAAGTGACACAAAATAACCCTCACTTGGCCACAGTTTTAGTCTCTATCTCATGTCCCTCATTGTGAGAGATAAGTAGGATTTCCAAGGCTCAGACACTGCCCACATCCAAATAAAGAGAGCGAGGCTAAAGACAGGGAAAGGAGGAGAGTAATCAAGGAAGGGTATATTCTGAGTATTCAGAGAGCCACACTGTAGCACAGAACTTGTTTTCTGTTCCAGATCAGCTCAGCGATTCCAGGAGGTGATGCTGACCTCTGGGCTTAATGAATGGTACCTCCAATTCCTCAGTGGTAAAAGCCCCTGTGGCTCTATCTGCCCCTAGCACATCCTCCCAGCTAACAAGGTACCAATCTAAGCTTTTCACTCCAAGCTCAAGAGCCTTGTATCTCCAGGCTCTGGCCATGTATGTTCACTATATTTTGCAGTGTCACAGAGAAGGTAATCAGAAAAGTAGGTAGGAAGGCCTTTTGATAACCAAAGCACCACAAAGATAGAAGTCCCAGCTTTTTGGTTCTCACTTTTGTTTGCACACACAAGCTCTGGTCCAGAGGACAGAGCATCAAGCTCTCCACTGGAAATGAGCCTTGCCTCTGACCACCACTATTATCAAAAGCTCCTAAAGGGAGCAGTCAACAGCTCAGAATCCTCATGGTGGTGAACAGTAGGTTATACAACGGTGTGTACACGCTCACACACACACCCACATCAGATTTGCTGCCCCACTTATCTTTTTTGAACTTCCACAATCTAGAGCATGTGGTCTCTAGAAAATAAGAGTGAAAACACACACACGCAGGCCTCAAAGAGTCAAGGGAGATACACACAAAAATGCAGTCAGTCATACACAGAACCAAAGAACCTTGAAATACGGTATTTATATTTCACCATCTCCCCTTAGATTCCTTCCAGCTCTTCACCATGAGAGATTACTGTAATATCCTCACCGGCTGTTTCAAAAATAACTCTGTCCCTAAATTAGGGCTGCTTACCTGCAAACTCTCACCGGTTCACCCCAAGCCCCTCATATCCAGCCCTGGGAAGCAAGAAACCAAGGGGGTGGGGGGAGGCGCTTCCAAAAACAACTTGGCAGAGGCCTTAAAATTCTTTGTGGAACTTCCTAGGAATGAATATTTTCCACACACTGAGGGCTCTAGAAAGCACTTCAGAAGCTGACCCACAGGAAGCCCCACCTCCCTAGAAGGTTCAGAACATCATCTGTGAAAGATAGATGGTCCATTACCTACTTCAGAGATTCAAACTCCTTTTCTCCCGGGAGGCAGCGCCAAACACCAAGAACCATTCTGTGAGCCATGGTCCTCACCTTGACTCAAGTCAGGAAACCACACGAAATATTTGAAGAAGGAAGCAAAGGGACGGGGACTTCCTGTCCCAATATACCCACAGCTCGACCAAACCACTCGAGGGGCCCTTTCCTTTTGGAACCTAGTCGCCGTTAGTGTCCCAAAGGAGCACAAGCATTAGGTTGGCGACCACAAGCTCAGCACCGGTCAGATTAGGGACAAGCAGACTATGCTCCCACCCCACAATCCAAGACTGAGGATGCTTCAGTGTAGTCCCTGAAAGGACTCGGCTAGGGATGGATGCACAAGGACCATTCCCCGGGCGATGGACTTGGGCGGCCCTTCTCCCTCTCTCGAGACTCCTGCCTCACACATAAATAACTCGAACCCAGTCTTTCCTACTCCCCAAACTCTCCGGTGTTCTCGTCTTTCCGGTAAAATTGTCTCTCACCCCGAGCCACCCAGACATCGGCGCCCGCTGCCCTAGCCGCGTTCCGCCTCCTGCCCTGCGGCTCCCGCCCCCGCCCCGCCTCTCCGCTCCGCGACCGCTCCTCAGTCTTGGGCTCCCAGGCACGGCCCCTTACCCGTGTGGAGCCGATGTCCATCATCACCTCCTCAAAGGCCGCCGTCTCCTCGGCCTGACGCTGCTTCTGTAGCGCGATTTTCTCACTAAACTTGCGTGGATTGGACGCTGAGGTTGTGGCGGCGCCCGGCCCGTTCGCCCCTGATGTCGCCATTTTACCCCCGCGTCCCTCCCCGCCACCTTCCCAGTTCCAGCCACGGCCTCCGCCGCGGGCCCGGCCCGGCTCCTCCAGCCTTAGCAGCCGCCACCGCCGCCTCCGCGAGCCCGGCGGCTCTGCCCTAGCCTAGTCCTGACCCCGCAACGCAACGCCTGCTGGGACTTGTAGTTTGTTTACGGGCCTCCTCTACGCCCGCAGCCACGCAGCGAGGGCAGGAAGCGGACTCCACTTCCCAGCAGTCCTGTCGACCCCGGGAGTCCGGCACTCACACCACCCCTTACCTACTCCCGGCCCGTGGCAAGCCGGGAAAGATAGTTCTACTACAGTTTCGAGCCTACGAACGGGAAGGGGCGAGGGATTAGCAAAGGAAGACGGAGAAAACGGCCAGGAACAGGAGTGGAGACAGGAAGGGAAGAAGGAAGAGACAAAAGAAAAATTTGGTCACCCCTCAAGAAAGACCACAAGTGGGGCAAATGAAGACAAGTTTACGCATCTGGGATTCAACATACACACAAATACAGAAAGATTCAGGTCCTCTTAGCCTGGCCACAAGACAAACACACTCACACACCTGAAAAATGAATCAGATACCGTAAAGGTGTATAGAAACATCTTTTATTCGGGTAATACGTCCCAAAACAGTCAGTTAGTAAAATAGATTCTACAGAGTACAGCCCTATACACAGCCCTCCCTCCCTAAAAATAATCATGGGGGGAGTCTGTCTCTCCACCCACCCAGACATCCAAGATAGAAAAGTTTTGGCAGGTCAGTGTTTATGATCTAGGTATGGGGCCCCATGTCCACCTTCTGTAGGGGTTGGTGTCAGGACCTACTTTTCCCTCACTCCAGCCAGGTCAGCAAACATTCTGCCCCACCCCAAATAAAGAGCAAGTAGGTCTACTCCACTGAGGTGCTGGGCTGGGCCCACATCACTGTGCTTTCAGAAAAGAGGGAGGTGAGCCATATATGGTGGTGGCACACACTTTTTATCCCAGTGCTCAGGAGGCAGAGGTGGGTAGATCTCTGTGAGTTCGAGGCCAGCCTGGTCTACAGAGTGAGTTCAGGACAGCCAGGGCTACACAGAGAAACCCTATCTCGGGGCTGGGAGAGCACACTAAAGGGGTAGGTGGGTGTTTGGCACTTGAAAACTAGAGGAGCGAGCTAGGCAGTGGTGGCACAGCTCCCCTTTCATCCCAGCACTCAGGAAGCAACCCTATCTGAGTTCAAGACCAACCTAAGTCTACAGAACAAGCCCCAGGATAGCCAGGACTACACAGAGGAGCAACCGGATGTGGTGGAACACTCATTTAATCCGAGCCATCAGGAGGTAGAGGCAGGCAAGATCTCTTGAGTTCAAGGCCGGCCTGGTCTACAGAATGAGTTCCAGGATAGTCAGGGCTACACAGAGAAATTCTGTCTCAAAAAAACAAAGTGAGGAGAACAGGAGAGGCCAGATAAATTATGGAAACTGGCAGAGACCATTTGGCACTAGTCCCTTGGTAGAAGAGAAGACAGAGATATAATAATAGGAGGCTAGAAAGCGGGAGGATTCACTTGGCAGAGGTGAAAGGAACAGGATATTCCAAAGTAGCTCCAGTTCTGTCAGCTTGTCTCTAGGTGTAGTGCCTGATCTGTGATTGTGGCAGTCTGCCTCATTGCTAATGTCCCCTGATCATGTCTCACGTAATTTGACTATCTCTTGTTCTTGGGCCTGGGGCTAGCCTCTTCTCTGCCCACTTCCTGACCTCTCAGAGAACTCTTTGGTCCTCATTTCCTTTCTATTTCTCACAAACTGAGAAAGGCAGGGAGGACAGGGGCACCTGATAGTCAGCATCCCCTGCCTTTTCTCTTGAAGCACCTTAGATCTGGACAAAGAGCAGGCCAGTGAGCAGGGCAAAGCCTGCTAGGAGCAGAATGACCTTGAGGATCCTCTGCTCAGAAGTAGCCAGCTCCTGGGGTAAGATTTCCAGGAAGGTGATATAGAGGAAGGTGCCAGCTGCCATGCCCTCCAGCACAGATTGGGCCAGCTGGTGCAGAGGCCCGGCTGACTCTGCCAGAGCTGCACCCAGCCCGATGCCCAGAGGTGTCATACAGGAGAAGAGGATCCCACAGCCAGCCACCACCTGCACCCGTAGGTGGCTCTGTAGCAGCCGCAGGGACAAACTGACTGCCAGGATACCCTTGTGGAGCAGCAAAGCAAGGCACAGCTCCATTGCCCGGGCCCGGTCTCGCTGCAACCCTACAGCCAGGCCCTCAAATACGGAGTGCAAGGCTAAGGAGAAGACCAGCACACAGGCACGCAGGGCTGAGGGAGCTGCTGTAGTTCCGCTGGCCGGGGCGATCCCTGGTCCATCATGCCAGTGTTGAGGTCCACCATTCACTGTCCCCAGCAGAGCCCTTGTCTCTTCTGGATGTGGTGCACTGGACTGCTCCTTGTAAGCCAGTGTGATCTGTTCCATCACCAAGACCAGGAAGAAACCCATGGCCAGGATGAACTCTTGCAGGGGGAACTGAAGCTGTGAACAGAGGTGGCAACAGGAATTCAGGAAACAAGACAAGAATGGGAAGGAATCAGATGCAAAGTCTGATAGAGGCCCCATTATACACCATGTGAAGTCCCACACAACCTGTTGGTCACAAAATGAAGTTCGTTGGTGGCACAGACATGGAACAACACACAATGGAACAGATACGGTACCACACAGTGTCTCATGCGAACAACTTTGGCACTGACAACATTCAGGGATTAAAAAAAACTCTGTCATCGCTGTCATACACACTGTAAGCAGCTCCTCTGACTTCCACCCACCAGGTGTCAACAGCAAGCACAATATCACCACCATCACTAAGCTATGATGACCAAGAATGTCTCACACATTACCCAGTCAGTGTTTCCCAAAGGGTAAAAAAAACACTTCCCCTGGCTGAGTCATAGACATACATGCACAATGCTACATGTAAGCATCCAAACAAAGGATCACATTTGGGCCCACTTTCCCACATACAAAGTTGTTCCCTGCTGAGTAGTGGTGGCACACACCTTTAATCCCATCATTCAGAAGGCAGAGGCAGGTGGATCTCTGAGTTCGAGGCCAGCCTGGTCTACAGAGCGAGTCCAGGACAGCCAGGGCTCTATTATACAGAGAAACTGTTTCAGAAAACCAAAGCTGTTCCCATACAAAGTGACATGTCACAGGAACATTCACAGTCATATGGAGACACAGGTCAGTCACAGGTACACAGAGGTCAGCACCCATTACTAACCCCTCAAACAGAAGCGCTTGAGATGACTTTGCTGAACCCAGCTGTCTCAGGTTTTCCTATACGGTGTTTTCTGGGATGTTTATGTTTGAGAGGCAGGCAGGGGGTTAAGACAGGTCTTACTCTGAAGCCCAGATTGGCCTGAAAAACACTTAGATTGTCTAGGCTGACTTCACACTCCTTGTGATCATGTCTCTGCCTTGCAAGAGCTGGGACTGCACCCCTCCCAGCTGCAGTGAGCTTGTCTTGCCTTGGACCCAACCATCCCCCATACCCTACTTCCTTGAGATCACCAGGCTGCTGGAAATTGCTTCCTACCCTCCCAGATCTGCATTGATCTGTGTTCCAGCCCTTTAAGGGATGATAAAACAGGCATGCTGGTGAACACCTGTAATCCATGAACATGAGGTCGGAGAACCAAGGGCTTGAGAGCAGTCAGAATCACATAGCTAGACCCTATGAAAAGAAAAGGGCCCTCATGCATGCTCATGTAGTGAGCCTAATTAAACTCATGGACTCAAGGTCTCTCTCACTCACACACATGCACACTCAGCCAAACATGAACATGAAAGTAAGAGAGCTACAAGCTAGCCAGTAGTTCAGAAAAGTGAGATAATGAGTGGGAAGGAGACAAGAAGTTGTAATGGAAGTGAATATGGTCAAGACACGTATGAAAATGTAATAATAGAACCATCACTATGCAAAATATATGAAAATAAAATAAACTATAGAGGAAATAGAGAATGCTGGGTGAGGTAGCACAAACCTGTAATTCAGCACTTGGGAGGCAGAGGCAAGATCAGTGCAAATTTGAGGCAGGCCTCAAGTACCAGGCCTTCCAGGGCTACACAGTGACAGCCTGTCTCAAAAAAGAAAGAAAAAGAGAAAATGAAAGGGAGGGAGAGGGAGAAGGAAGGAGGGATAAAGGGATAAGAGATAAAATGTGATTCTTGGAATATTGCTAACTTCCTGGTAACCAAAACTGCAAAAAACGCAGAGTAGCACATACACTTGATAAGGTTCGTCACGCTATCTCAGTGAGTACTGAGAGTCACGGAGTCCCGTATCAGGAAAAATGCACAGAAAGAACGCCCTGTCGTTCAGGCCTTCCACAGTCATGGGGTGACTCCTGAAGAGATTTATATAACCATGTTTTCTTTCTTTCCTCCTTTGGTTTTGAGACAGGGTTTCATTATGTAGCCATTAGGTGTCCTGGAACTCACTCCGTAGACCAGGCTGGCTAGCTGGCTTCGAACTCCCGGAGATCCTGGTATGGGCTACCATTATAGCCAGATTTGCTATTAGAGATTCCAGCGCTCTCTCTGGGTCACATATTAAGATGAGAGCTCACCGTCACATGCAAGGCCTCCAAAGCCTCATCTATGGCAGCCAGGTAGTCAGGAAGCAGGTCCAGAAGACAAGTAGCCAAAAAGACTCCTCCTGCGAAGCAGCTTACCAGACTTAGGACTTTCTGGCTTGAGGCTGGGCAGGAGTGAAGCACAAAAGGAAAAGGGTTATAATCAAACGAAACCCCTGCAAAGCCCTACCGCTCCAACAGAAGCGGGGGGGGGGGGGGGCTCTCTCTTGTTCCCCTCGTCCCCATCACCTCTCCCAGCCTCCGGGGCAGCAGGGGCAGCACAGACTCACCAGAGGTTTCATGGTTAGCGCCTGGCCTTCGCAGCACGCAGACTGGCACCAGGCTGCAGAGGAGCGTGAGCAGCAGCAGCAGCACCAGCGCCCCCAGCTTCACCTCCAGCCCCACCGGCACTGAGGGCTCCGAAGCTATCGCTTCTGGGCGCCACACCAGGAGCTCTGGCTCCCCCCAGGGAACCATG